GCAATTTGTTCTAAAAATAGAAAAATTGTCCCATATCATAGGTGCGCGCGAATCCCGAGACTTACGGTCTCCGTCCCCGATTATGGCTCCTGATCTGGGATATTGCTGCAACAACCGAGAGCACCTCTGGAAGGCGTTTCTGCGCACTTTTCGAATGTGTATTGCACCATCTTGAAGGAAATCAGAGGACCTGAGATATCCAACCTTCCTGGGTAGACGTCACAAGAGCTGCTGGACCCATTCTCCTCAAACTCGGCCGCGAAACAAAATGGCGGTGTTTTGGAGCTATTTTCGAGATTTCGTCGGGGCAAAGAAAATCGAGGATTAAACCGAATCCAAAATTCTTTTTTGCAGAAGTATTTCAAATAACAAGTAGATTCGTTTTAGTGAAACAATAATTCTGGGGTTAGGTGCACTTAAATTCTCCATACCGACTACAGCTCATTTCCTTTGAACTTAGTTGTGACAATTTCGTATTACATCGAGAGACAGTGCAGGGAAATGTTCAAAAACTCTCAATCTTTTTCACATGAGGCTTTGTTTTATTTATATTAATTCCAAGTTCATAGTTATTCGTGCAACTTACACGATATTAAACTTTCCTTGGGAAAGTTAAAATGTAACAATATTGCAATAATATTAAATAATATGCAGCTGTCTTCACTGAAAGTTGCATATTTTACAAAATTGGCATGAAAGGAGAAAAACAATTCTTTAAGCACGACATATTGAGAAAGTATGCAACCATATCCACCACTATTACAACGATATTGCTACAATATTAAATAATATGCAGCTATCTTCAGGGACAGTTGCATATTTTACAAAATTGAAAGGAGAAAAACAATTCTATAAACATGACACAATCTTCAACTCTCCTTGAGAAAGTATGCAACAACATGCAACACTATCACGGCAATATTGCAACAACATTCAATAATATGCAACTTTCTTCAGCGAAAGTTGCATATTTTACAAAACTGAAAGGTGAAAAACAATTCTATAAACATGACCGACATCAACAGAAGAAACAAAGGAATCGCCAAGTTAAAAAATCAGTTTACCCAACAGTGATTTCTCTAAGATTTGAATGCAAATAAAATGAGTTAAGTTAAATTGTTTACTTCGAAATCATTTACTCATGTTTTCGTAATTTTAAACTGTGCGAACGCAAATGCTTTCAAAATATTTTCGGCGCATAACAGCTTTTTTAATCGTTAAAACTCGAGTTCTCACACCAAAACAGGCGGCAATGATTGTACAGTGAGAGCAACTATCAAAATATATATCATAATCAATCGAATTTTCATTGCTGCGTTCGCTGCATCTCAGTTTTCGATGCACACCGGCTAACATATGAAGCGATCTTTTGTCGGAAGAGTGTTCACTAGTCATTTTTACCAATAAGATTCTGCAGGAAAAAGTAATAATGATAATCCGTTATGAACACGACAGATCAAATTAATACGATGCGCAGTTTACTCTCGGACTGCGTAAGTAGCGCGATCTCCTTTTTCAAAATATTTTGAATACTACGCAATGAATAAACGAGTAATCGTCAATAAAACAAGATATGGTAAACAAGAACGGTTTTCGAAAAAAAAAAAAGCAGCAGTCTCTGTTTAAAACTAACGTACTATTTTTGCGCTAGTTTTCAATATCACGAACTGCGTGGTAAGCAAAAAAAGCCGTTATTCTGAACGCCTGGTTTACGACAGAATTACATTTGAAACAGACTGTTGCCTAGAATAGCAACCAAAAAATGTTTATCTAAATTTTTGCGCGCGCAAAAACAAGTACGTTCACATGTGGGCGAACTGGCGGCGAACTGTATAATTCTAATGATAAAAAACATATATATCCATTTCCAAATGTACGACATAGCTTTAAAACACCAAATGAAATAGTGCGTGATAGTTTTGTTCAAGCAATCTCAATTTATGCCAGATTATTACTGGGTATGCTCGAGAATACCGGGTTATATTGACTGTGCTGAAGGTATCTCCTTTATTTGAAGCACTAGATGACAGATAAATTGTGAGATATGAGGGGTATATTGTCCGAGTGGGTGATATGCAAAATACTATGTCAGAACGAGTACATTGTATTAGCGATAAGCTGACAGAGTTGATTTAAATTGATATACTTAGAAAAAAAAATGTGCATCGCTTCCACCAGGATGTGTACTTTCGATTTCTTGCACAAATACTGGCAACAAATAAATAACATTTGCGCTTTTGGAAAACAAAGGTTGTTTCAAATATGAAAGGCCACTTGAGATAACTATATTCTGTTTCCTTTATTCTCTTCAATGTACCATTGAAAAAAAAAAATCACGTTTTTTTATTTATTCACCACACTACGTAGGTAAATACGAGAATTGACGCACATTTGAGTCAACATTTACTCGTGTCACTCATCTTATCTCCCTGCCGTGCGACATTGGCATATCAAGATTAGGTTATTCGGTCACGTTGTGAAAGTTTGCAAGTTTGCGAAGATAAAACTAAAAGGGTTGTGGTATTGTAACTCTACCATTGCTGTCAACCGAGGCTTTGCCTGAAGCCAATGATGGTATACGTTGATCAAAAGAGACCTCCCTGATTGCTTTTAAGGAACTTTTTAATTCGTTCTCAAGCGTCCGGATTTACGTAACGTCAACTCTCGAACAAAAGAAGAGTAATCTCGCTTTTATATCAGAACCGCTGGAGCCGATGTGTTGCTGTGCACAACGTACCGATAGAAATAGCTTGCATTGTCTACAATTTTGATACCGCGACTGTGCGCGGAACAACTGCAAGGGAAACGAGCTGAAGAAGAAGTGTAATCTATTTTTTTTACTGAGAACGCAAATGGCCAAAAGAATGGGGCGCTTAAAGGACCGAGTTTTCTCCAAGCTCCGTCGTCCTTTTCATTACAAGAGGGTTCACAAGAACAAAGATGACCTTGAAGAATCTGTGATAAACAGCAGTGAATGCGCCCGAACCCACTGCGAAACAACAAGCAAGGGAACTGTGACCTACAGCTATCTTAAACCTGATCACAACCATCGTAACAACAACTCAGAGTGTCCGTGTTTTCAGAAAGGACTATTCTCTCTTGAGGAAACTGAACTCGAGAACCTCAACGAGCACAGGAAAACCGCCGAGGCTGACGAGGAAGAAGAACTAGTCGCACAAACGAAGCAATTGCCACCGCAAACTCGAAGGCGTTCCTCAGCTTTTCAAAAACTTATCAACTGGGTGAAGCCGGAGAACAGAAGACACGCAATTTGCGAGCAAATGGAAAGAGAGATTGAGACGAGAGGAGTGAGTTTGCGGCAGTATCGAAAATTCTTGGCCACGACTTACATCTTGTATGATCTGAAAATGCTCTGATTAACAAAGGATTTGACGATCCATACTACAAGGAAAGAGTGAGAACATTGTGAGATTAATAGGAACGCTGTATGACGGAAAGCTGACAGAAAAGTGAAAACTTCAAATACGAACACAGCGTCGAAATGTAAGGCGCACATTTAATAAGCTAGTAAAGCTTCTAGATTAGTCCGATAATAATTCCAGGTGAAATGTCAGGAAAGCGACCGAATGGTCAAATTTAATTTTGAAAACATTTCGGGTAATTCATTTCAAATTACAAAGCGGAAGAGTCGGAAATTTTAAAACAAAGAAAAAAAAAAAGAGTGCAAGCAAAATCTGAAAAATTAATCATCGTAAAAAAAATAATAATAATAAAATAAAGTAACGCTATCAAATGGCATTTCAGTGAACCGCGTTTTAGCGCACTGTATGAACAACAATGAAGTCGCCTTTAAAAAATGCTTCGTTCAGACTAAGAATTCAGTTAAGGAACCAAAAATTTGAGGTTGAGGTAAAAATCGATATACTAGTTCACCGTTCATCAGTCTTCAATAGCCAAAACACGGGAATGACGCTAAAAGTCCACAACTAAAAAATTAACAGGAGAACCGCTCATGTTACATTGTGGGGAGCGCACTTTTGGACTCGTTATGGCATTTTTCACTATTGAAACGTGCAAGAAGTCACAAACGATGATTGCTCGAAATTATCCATAACAAGTGCGGATACTCTTTGTAAACAGAGACTTGCTCACGGCTAATGGACAATTCTTGAACAGTTGAAAAAACTTTATCCCGAGCAGCGCTGACGAATTGAATAAAAAGATTGTTTTTAAATAAGCTTCATGAGAAATGCTGACTTGATACAATGTGTTTAGTCCAACGGCGAAGACGGACAGCGATAAAGATTACGAAGGATAAAAAGGCTTGCCGTTCATTAAAATCGCGGCCTTAAAGTCGGAACTGCAATAAAAAGTTATTTACAGTAAGAATTTTCACATAATTCCTGTCAAAGTATGCCGAATGTCGCTAAAAAGCTCCCTGCAAGTGCGAAAGGTTTGTGTTTTTCGTTGCCCCAAAGAATACTGAAGGAAAACGTGCAGCCATTTAACATAACAAAAACTCAAGGTTAATAATAAAAAAGTAAAATTTAGATAAAAACAACAGCGCGCATTTTCGCGAAAGTGCAGGATCGGTTTCCTCAAAATAAGATAATATAGTCAATTAGCTTTTACCTGATTACTGGCAAATGTTAATTTCCAATGTTTTCTAAATTTTCGAGAAAAATCCGCCAATCATGGTAATGTTTATATTTAACATTAAAAAAGTAATTGTGGCAAAAACATTGCATTGGAAATGTTTTTTAGCTAGTCTCTCGAGATAGTGATCTTCGGGTCTTTATTTACAAGACAAAATTCTGCTTATGTCTATATTTGAACATAAAAAGGTAATAAAATCGATTATTGCCATTTTTCCTTTTTCAGTGATATTGGAAGAAGGAACTGATGACATCACGATAACGGGCGATTTCGATATTAAAATTTTTGTCTTTCCTTTTACTATGTTGGGCAAGTTCAGTATCATGGCCTTCGAAGATATAGCGACACGGTATCATTACGAAGAGACAGCCTTCATGGGAAAAAACCATGCCGCTTCCGCATTTGATACAACAGTCGAACTTCCGTTAACGGCCATCTCTCCACAACGGCCTCTTTTTTAGGTCCCGGAGTACGGTTCATGCATTCACTCTCATTTTAACCTCGATGATAATCAAAATATCGTCATTTGTCAGTGGCAAATAATTTATCTGCGAGACCCTGACAAATCACGATATTTTGTTGATCATGCGATTCATATTCAAATTACTCTCCGCCAGCTCTGGAAAGCGGTACGCCATAGACCCTTTTCATAAATGGCTGCCAATTTAACATTCTTTTGTGTGCATTTAAATTAGCCTCACTAAACTCGTTTGGGAGTAAAAATTCTTTTGAATTATCGACTCAAAAACGAGGTTAGTCAGGCTAATTTTAATACTTACAAAAGAATTTATAATTGGCAGCCATTTATGAAAAGAGTCTATTTTCCACACGAGAGTGCGATTGCATTTACGCATGAGCAGAATATTATTTGTGCAAATCACATTAATGCGGTACTACGCATGAGCAGAACATTATTTGTAGGCAGTGATAGGCAGTCATTTGCAGACCAAGTGGTGGGCTCTCAACCAATGGAAAGGAAGAAATGGATCGAATGATAATATAATTTCCTTATCATTATAAATATGAATACTTTAACATTTTCAGTTTATTTATATGGCTCTTCATTTGACGTTGACCATTCCGAAACGTTTGGATTTGAGTTTCATCTCAGGTCGTTACCATGTGCATTTAGTAAACAATTGGCTTTCGTGCTGGTTGTTCTGTTGAGTAAAGCAAGTTCTTGCTGCTACACCGTGCTGACGAGACCCAACCAGGATCAAAGCACCATCAATTAATCAAAGATTAGCGAGAATTTGGATCTGTTTCTTCAACTTTTCTTGAAGTTTTATGAATATATTTTCCATCCATCCAGTCAGTTTGACTTCGACTAATCTCGCACTTCACAAAACATCAGTAACGAAAACTACCTTTATGCGAGAGAAAAAAAGCTTTCAACACTTTTAAGACTTTCCAGCAACCCAGCCCTCGTTTGTTCTGCTCTAACCTTGAGGGAGACATGGGGACAACTAATACATCAAGCAAAGCGAAACAATGATAAAACAAAGACATACATCTATTTTAGTGCATTTATTTTCATTTTAGAACGTTGAATAACTCAACAATATGTCTGCTTTAATCATTACATTTACCGCTACATTCAACTTCTTATAAAATATTTTGCAATAAACCCTACACCGTCGGTCAAGTTTACCGAGGGTTGAGTAACAACAATCTGGACAGAAAAAAAGAACTGCTACCTGATATGACAGTTGTGACTGTACAGAGATATTCATTACCAATTGCATAATGTTCAATGTTCCTAATCAACGACCCGGTGAGTTGCATCTACAAAGAGACGCTTCTTCCACTCTTCCACGTACACTAATATTAACTCAACATTATGATATTCAACACACGAGTAACTTGGATGTACTAAACAACCCGTATATAGTGACAATTTCACTTAGGAGTGATGACATTGCTTGATTTCATGAGTTCGAGTTAAAACGTCAAGTTACTCTTTTTAGCCTCAAAACCAATCCCTTGACAGAACGACCGCGACTGGCCTCGAAACCATTCCTGTTAGTCGTATAATAAAAGTCAACAGGTACAGTCAAATTTGGGCGAAAATGAAACTAAAAGCCCAAGGAAAGCAAGCGTAAATGGGCACCCACACGAAATTCTACCAAACTCAAAACTCAACTTGAACTTGAAATTCTGACTCGAACTCATAAATCTAATACATTCACCAGTGGTTACCACAGGAAAACACGTCCTCGAGTAGGGCCGTATTCTCATACAAGCCGGGTTCCCCCACCCCCTCCCCTTACCAAAAAACAATTAGCACCGACCAGAATACGAATGATCAAAAATCATTTTACGACGGTCATTATAAAGAACCGTAGCAAGGTTTGTGGGGCTAACACTCGTTCGAATTGTCAGCTTCAGAAACGGGCTCCAGCATTTAATTTACCTCTATCAGTAAATAGCCACGTGTTTCAATTGCCTACCAACCCGGCCCAACAGTTTCTTTAGAAGCTAGTACCTTTTTTCCAAAAGCAGCGACACTTTTTATCAAAACCTGCAGCAAATAAAATCCCAACTTTGAACATAAATTGAGCATTTAGCTGATCAAGCACTAAACTTTTTGACCTGTGGCAGCTTGACCAAGAAAAACTATACAGTAACAGAAAATTCCATGAACCAGATACACCAAAGGCTTTGAATGGATTCTCTTGCACAATTTCCCTTGAATATACTACAAATTTGCTTGTTACTTTACATGTAATTTTACTTCTTAGCTCATAGTTTTATTTGATAAGGAACAATAAATCGAATCAATGTATCTTAATTTCAAAATTAGACAAAAATCCGTTTCAAGTATAAGAAATTTAATTACGAGATGTGGGCGTTTAAAATCTATTTCTAAACCGATCAACCAATATCACCATTTGGATTTTTATTTTTCCAAACCTGACGTAAGAAAATCAAATTTGTCCAAATCTTCACTTGATAATTTACAACTGGGTCGAGGATTTACCTTCCCTAAAGTTTTGTCAATGTAACGCAATGCAAAAAAGCCTTCGGTAAGCTCACGTTCAATTTACAGCTACTAATGTTCATCTAGTGCTGATCAGGTCCTTGTTTAGACATTCAATAAACGTAAACAAACTGCTTTTAGTTGACACTGTAGAACTAGTAAGATGACTCTCGGACGCAGTGAACAACATCCACAGTTCTTTTCCTCATTGTTACAGTCAAATTTAAATCATGAAAATATTAACTTTAACACTAAAACCGCTAAAATCCTATTCTGTACATAGACAACTATTTGCAAGGCCTGATAGCCACCGCTGTACAAGCGCGCGTATCTCCACGCAAGCGCAATGCCATGATAAGTCCAGGTTCACTTTCGGAAGCCTTTCTAATTGGACAATTAACACGCACAGGTCACGTGCGGTTCTCGTGGATTTTCAAAGCTTTGCAGAGGACAAGAGTTCTTCACATACTTTCTTGTAAGCCCATGTGTCTCCTTTCATACGTTTTCGGCGTACACCTGTGAACGAACAAATTTCAGTTAGCATGGACAAGTGTTTTTTTCTGAAAGGGAACGAATATGGAACAATGGCCTCTGAGAAAAGGTACAGCTTACCTGTACGAACTCTTGACTGCGAGGCCGCAGTTGCAAGACTCGACAATCAGGTGACAAAACATTTCTCGAAAAGTAATCTTAGCCATTTCACCTTTCGTCCGACAAACGGACAGCGTTCGAACGTAATTTCGCTGTTTAATCTCAGTGAGTGTGACAAGAAACTGAATTTTTTCTCTCCCAGATAATTTCCCGATATTCATTGTAGTCGCTTTTTCCTAGCTTGTTCGCCGTTCCTTGACTCTCTACATGTACTTTACTTGCCGGCAAAGTCGAGGTTGACTGTAAATGGCGTCAATTTTTTTCTGTCTCAGGGTCAACAGACATGTTGAACTGAACAGCTCTCCAGTAGAGAATGGGGCAAAGAGAAAGACCCTACCCCATTCCCCCTCGGCCACTTCACTCTCGGCCAGTTCCTTCTCGGCCCTTCTTGTCGGAGCCTGTTCACTGGCTACAGCCAATTTGATCGAGAACCCACCATATTGAAAACCTCGAGAACACTGTTATTAAAAGGAGGGGAGAGATACAGTAAGAGAATGAAGAGGAAAAACAAAGCCCGTGTCTCAAGGCGTACCTATCATTTCCATTTTCGGAATGAGGCAAACTTCCATTTCGAATTCAAGAAGAACCTTTCCTCTGTCGTCTATAGATTTACATCGAAGAGTGTACCTAAAACACGAAAATGCCGGTAAAGTAAATATAACAAAGCGAGAGTGGCATGTAGTTAAAGGGACCGGACTGTGTCATGGCTGAGTTGAGTCTACTTTATTACGTTTTGCCGAATATGCGCTATGAAACTTAATGTTAGCGAAGAAACTATTTCTATGGATGACAAAATGACAAAACCATAGCTTCATTACAACCAAAAATGTCTTCCGCAAACAAGAGATTAACTTCGAAAGTTGTTCAGCCTAACAACTTTTCAAAACCCATTATCGCAATCCGTTTTACTCTTCTTCAATTTTTGTCCACGGTATCTTTTGTATTTGTTGTTCTACTACAGTGTCCCTTCATTGTTTTCAGTGCTGATTTCTATATTTCTCTCGATTTGGTCAACATTTTTTTTTTTAAATGTTACTAAAATCCAAGGCCTGTGGTCTAACAAAAACTATGAAGAGCCCAAAGGTTCCCAATCATGAAATACTGGGTGCCCAGCACTTAAATAGAGCTTATATGAAAAAAGGTCAAATTTTCCAGTCGCCCGAAGGCAAAAGTTAGTCGCCTGTGGGACCTGGGCGCTTCTAGAGCACAGCGCTGAAAATCCATGACAGTCCCTTTAAGTAATATCTTCGCATCAGTCTGTTCAGGGATTATTGCATGTAAAGACACATACCCTTTTTCTTTGTACATAATGTCTCGGTCTTGCAGAACTCGCTTCAGTTCGTCAAGAACCTCGTCTGAACTTCTTGTGGAGGTTGAAGAAACATTATATAGAGCCTGCAGTAACAGAAACACAACATAAGGTCTTGCTGTATTCATCATTGCTAAGATGTGGTTAACAACAACAAGCACAAAAAGATTTAACTAATTTGCAAAGTTCGTTTACCTTGACTTTCCTCGGCCCATGTCCCCCGAGTCCCCTCGGTGTAATTGCTTCCACAATTCTGTTGAGTCCATCTTCAATGCTACCCATAATCCCCTGTGGAATTAACATTAATCTCGTAAAAAATGTGTTCAATACGTAGCTTGAACAAGTAGGTCCTACCCGTCCAGGCTTTCTCCACGTAAATCACGTCGATTGCTGTAATAACATTATGCATTGTACGTAACCTTAAAACAGCAATAACAACAACAACAAAACAATAAAGATAAGCTCAACAGTAAAAGTGAATCACAATGCAGCAGTCAAAATAACAATGCTTTCGAGTGGTCAGGTTCCAGAATTTCCGTAAGGGAAAGAGAATTCAACACACAAAAATTTACAACCGTCCCTTAATGACTTCTTACCCGTGAGCTCCACTTGCTTGTACTCGAGGGCGTGTCTACAGAACCGAACCTTTTCCTTCCGATTGTAAATGGAGATTTAAAAGGCGTTCTCTTGCACGTGGCCTTGTCCAGGTTAGTGTCTAGGGACTGGGACCACCTGGAAGGGCAATGGAGCTATTACTTTCTATTCCAACAAACAAGTGTATGTGTGGATAAGAGCTAAGTTTTAATAAAAGAATATACAAAAATTAATGAGCAACTTCCTGATTTCTAACGGTCGTCTTGAAGTTATTTCAAGTAAAAAGGAGTTCTCTCAATTCTCTCCTTCAGAGCACCTTCAGCACAAGAATTCTCTGCTCATAAATCATTTTATAAAAGTTCAAATTACTTTGCAACCTCTTCATAATTAAACAGACATAGACACCTTTGAGTTCCTCAAAACTACTTTGGTAGAGACAGAAAGAAATAGAGCTCTCGTAAACGAAGGGTCATTGCTATCAAAATCAATTGATGTTCGGAAACTACAGTATGTTATTCAGTGTCCCAAATCCACTTCTGCCTACTGAACGTTTCGCTGTTTGAAAGCACAGATGTTAACTATTTCGACAGCATTAAATTGTCAGTGTTTTTTCCCCTCCACTTTGTCACTCTACATAAACTGACCACAAACGTGGAGCTAAGGGTGCCTGTAGACTGATTCAGTGGTTCGACTGTACATGTTTGTACATGTAGAGTACTTACATTTTTGATTGAGATATTGGTGTAAGGTCGTTACTACCAAAGTCATAATCTGAATGAGACGTAGGTATATCAGCAGCAGCTCCTTTGGAAACAGAAGATGGTTCCAAGATTAAAAAAAAAAAAAAAAAGATCAAGAAAAATAAAATGAAAAGAAAAAGAAATAGAAATAAACAAAATAATAAGGAGATACCACTTTCTGGTGCTACCCTCGTTTTCAAGTACAAAACAGCGACTGTCTGACCGAGTTTCTGACGGACGGACGGACTGACCGACTGACTGACTGACCGACAGACAGACTGACTGACAGACTAACTGACGAAGGCGGTGCAAAAACACTGACTATTTTTTCTCTTTATTCCAGGTTGGAGAAATGCGTATCATCCACTGAGCAATTTAGAGATGCATTCATGTTGTCTTGGGCCAGTTGGTTGCACACCGCCTTTCTAATGAATCCTCTTTTTTCCTTTCATTCTCCATACAGCAGCTAACAGTTACACTCTACCCTACAAGCCCTTACCTCTGGCAGGTGTTTTCCTGGCTCGTGGTGTAATTGGGGCTAGCGGTGGTGGCATCTCAGTGGGTGCCTTTTTAGTAGGTGTCGTGGGTACACTGGAAGGAAGCGTCCCTGCTCGGAGCTTCCTCAGAGGTGGTTCCATATTTTCCTCCTTGTTTATCATGGCCTTTCTAGCCTGATGCTCAGAGTAAGGCATGGGCTTAGGTGGACGAAGAATGTATTCCGCATTTTCCGAGTTGGGAACATTGGGATGCTGGTGGAAGTCGACAAAAAAATAACAATAATAAAAATAAAATAAAATGTATACAATATTAATATTGCTGGATCAAACAATCAAGCCGTTGCACTGGGTTAGGCACTGATGGCAAGTTCTACTTCCGTGACAGGAAGAGAGGGAGAGTAGTTGAAAATTTACACCAAAAAGCACATGCAACAGGTAATGAACACAGAATGCTTTGCTTCAGGTGAAACCTGACACAAAGCATCCTCATGGTGCCTCATTACCTGTGACTTGTGCTGGTGACTGGAGGAATCGAAATAAAATTTTCAATGGGAAACCTGCTTTTAACAGGGTAAAACAGACTTGACTGAGGGTAGAGAAAATAAATTAGAAGCATTCCAGTATAAATGTTTGAGAAGGATTCTGAGGATTAGATGGCCTGTACAATGAGCAATAAGATAATCACTGAAATGATACATCAACTGAATCGGAGACGAGATAAGAAGATGGCGCTGGACTTGGATTGGATACAAACTGTGTGGAGAGAGATCCAGTAAATGCATGGTGAAGTTAGGGTGGAAACCAGAGGGTAAAAGAGCAGTAGAAAGACCCAAAAGACCTGGAGGAGAGTAGCAGAAGTAGAGAGATGGCAGGCAGGATGAAAAACTAGAATGCGAGAGCGGTAGCTAGAGGCAGAATGGAAAGGAAGCACAATGGGAGAGCCTTAAGTGGCCACGGGCGGAAAGAGTAGCAATGACAATGGTGATGAAAAATAGTCTAGTAGTCTTTTCTATTTTTTTGCCTTTTCCAACAATAAACAATTTAAACTGTACCTCATTTTCTTTGCTGTCCAGTCGCTTCCTGGTCCTTGCTCTGTAAATGAAGTTTTAAACAGTAATGCAAAGTTACCAAAAACTTCCAACACAAGTTACTGACAATAAATTATGCCATAACTCACTTGGAATATCTTGGCAAAAGCTCTGGCAGCTGTCCCTTGCTCTTCTTTTTGCAGAGAAGGAAATACATAGCTGTCACTTCATCATACTTCCACTGAAAACAACAAAACGAATTTAAGTGCCATGTTTATAAACAAAATATATTCTGTTAAGGGAAGGTTCAGTTCAGTATCATGTCAAAAGCTAAATGTACATGTACCTTGCTTGCAGAGATTTTCTCGTTTCTATTTCTCAAACAAATGTGAGCCATGATGCCGCAAATACAGATTGCAAAGCGGAGAGAGAGAGAGAGAGAAAACAGTGCCAAAATCACAATGGTACGAAAACAAAGTAAGAAACCAAAGGGACCAGGGCAGTCAAAAGGAATAACCATCTGTTTTTGTAACCTCATGAAAATATTTAAAAATAACACTGATGAACAAAACTTGCACCATCATCATGTACCTTTAAATGAAACAGAGAATATGACATCATTTACATGCAATCTAGGATTTATAAAGAAACAGATCCAATGGGTGTCTCAGAATTTTAGCAATATTGAGGTACAAATGTACATTTTGGTTGAAATTCAACAATGAGCCATGACCCCCCTCAAATTCAAGGAGTCTGAATGCTTCTCAGCAATTAGAAACTTCCACTGTTATGAAAGGTTCTACCACATTGAATCTTTTGGTATTGAGTATAAATATATTACAGTGTACATGTCTAATTTATAATACAGCAAAGTCCACAAAATTGTGCAGAATACAGATGTACCTCTCTCTTCTAATACTAACTTCCCTGTACTATGAGTATATATATTAACACGCAAATAAAAAAAATTGACTCTAACCTCTAGCACTTTTTTCATCATGGCCTCCGGTGTTAGGTCATAATATGATGCAAGCTCCAGGAGAACATCAGGATCTGGCTTATCCTTCTGTTTGTCAAGAAGTAACATTGATTAAAAAATTATATTACATTATCTGACTCTTAGGTAAAGCTTAATGTTTACACAGAAACTGGACACCTCCCCACAAAGGAACACATGGGCAAACTACTTTTATAAGACACGAATACTCGCAAGTCAAAAAATGATCGTTTACTCATTACTACAAATGAACATGTGACTGACACATTGAAAATTCACAACTGCATGGTATTAACTGTCACATACATGTAATAGGATTCTACAGGTATTTAATTATCAGCAGAAGGAAACATTGATTGTAAAAATTAATGTGAAATCAGAGGAAATATTATCACAGCATCTTGCACATGTACCTTGATGCGACTTGTCCATCTCACAGGTGCCGCATAACCCTTCATCATCCATTCATGGTTCAGCAGCTGTTTAATTGTCACTCGCTTCTTGGGATTTACCTGCCATGAAAGGTACATGAAAGATCATTATGCATGGAACATCTTTAGAAGATAAATTGCATGGTGATACAAAACAGCTGCAACAGTCAAACTAAAAGAAAGAAACTTTGCTGCTATTTATAGTTATGACATAAAGTGCTCATCACATTGTTGTATAATACAATGTAGACAAACTGAAACAAACAAGCCTACCTGTAACAACTGGCTTAAAATTCTAGCACTTCCTGCAAATTAAGAAAGGGTGCACCTTTGTAATCAGGTCCATAAGAAATAAATGAATAAATACTAAACAACAACAACAACAACTACAACAACAAACAACTACACAGTCATGTATGGAATATGGAGTTAAAAAAACAAATTAAAAGTAAAAGAAGGAAGATCTATTCAGAGGCAAGTTCAGATTAATAAGTGATTTATTAGCAGCCAACTTACCTGGTGATAGCCATTCTGGTACTTCATATTGTCCTTTCTGGACAAAAAAAGAAAAATGACAATAAATATGAAAATTATATATAAATTATAAATAATTAAAAAGTACATGTAGATTGCCCAACAGTTGATAAGAATTAATTCAATGTACTGACAATGTATATGAAACTATAACTAACAATATTACTAATTATTCTGTAGATATATTTTTTTTGACTGCAGGTCAGGAATTATTTGCTATTGTATAATTACATGAAATATTATAATATTGCAAGGAAAGATTCCTTTCTGTTTGACAAAATGAGCAATTTCACAAACCTGAATTAGTTTATACAACTTGAAAGTGTTCTCGTCATCAAATGGCAGAAATCCACACAGAAGAGCATACAGTAGCACTCCCATACTCCAGAGATCCACCTTGGAATATTAAATGATAAATGATCCTTAGAAAAGTAAGGAACAAGCAAATGACATATACCTTAGCTACAGGTACTTGTGGTGCTTGTATGCCCAGCACTCATATATTTACAATGTACATGTTTTAGTTAGTTATAGTCAAACCTACTGAGAACTGCAGATGTACATGTTCTGTACTACCTATCAGGACAAATTTATTAGAGCTCACCTCATTTCCATGATAAGGAAAGCCAGATATGAGTTCTGGAGGAATAAAAAATACAATGAAAGGTTATGGTTACCATATAGTTTAAGAGGTGTCTAGCATCCAAGCAGTGTAGGGCATCTGGTTTAAACGGTAGATCTACATGTATACCTACATGTAAACCTGTCTATCACATTAAAGCTTATAGAGCTGGCTATCAAACTTTTGAATTTTTTTAATTCTGAAATAAACTGAACTGCCAAATGTTTCACAACCCCTAAATGTAAGTGTCCGAATCACCACCCCTTCTAGGCTTTCAAAGTTAACAAAGTTCAGAATCCATTTGTTGAACATTTTGCAAAACTGCAATGTAAAATTAAATCTACCCGCTCAAAAAAATACAAAAGATAAGGTCAGTCGGGTGACACTTTAGAAATGCAGACAAAAAGCAAATGACCTACATTTGCAAATGTATACAGTTTACAAGAAAATTGTCCAATTTTTTTAAGAGATTGAGAGGACCACTATTCAGCTGTGCACACTCACCTGGAGCTGCATAGGCAGGTGATCCACAGCAAGTGTCCAAATGATCTGTCATTCCACCTCTTGGTTTGGCTACTAACCCAAAGTCGATCAGTTTGATATTCTGTATAACCAAAATGATAGAGATGACACAAAATATAGAAAAAAAATCTCCCATAATTGGAAACACCCTGGATTTAGGCAGACTTCAAACACTCTCAGACTTAAGGAAATTACTGTTAGTAGATAAGAGAAATGCATGTACATGTACACAAATGAAGGAAAGTCCATCAAAGTGCACCTAACCCCCAAATTTTTTTT